ATGATTTTTTTGGCCAGGCTCGGTGGCTCATGCCTGTAATCCTAGCACCCTGGGAGGCTGAGGCGGGTGGATCATTTGAGCTCAGGAGTTCAAGACCACCCTGAGCAAGAGCGAGATCCTATCTCTACTAAAAAAACAGAAAGAAATTAGCTGGACAACTAAAAATATGTAGTAAAAATTAGCTAGGCATGGTAGTGCACGCCTGTAGTCCCAGCTACTTGGGACGCTGAGGCAGAAGCACTGCTTAGACCCAGGAGTTTGAGGTTGCTGTGAACTAGGCTGATGCTATGGCACTCTAGCCCAGGCAACAGAGTGAGACTCTGTCTCAACAACAACAAAAAAAGACAATAGGCCAGACACGGTGGCTCAAGCCTGTAATCCTAGCACTCTGGGAGGCCAAGGTGGGCGGATCGCTCAAGGTCAGGAGTTCGAAACCATGATGAACAAGAGCGAGACCCTGTCTCTACTAAAAATAGAAAGAAATTAATTGGCCAACTAAAATATATATAGAAAAAGTTAGCCGGGCATGGTGGCACACGCCTGTAATCCCAGCTACTCGGGAGGCTGAGGCAGTAGGATCACCTGAGCCAAGGAGTCTGAGGTTGCTGTGAGCTAGGCTGACGCCACAGCACTCTAGCCCGGGCAACACAGTGAGACTCTGTCTCAAAAAAAAAAAAAAAAGACAATAATTTTCAACTCTTTTTAGCGGTGAACCTTTTGTTCAATTAAAATCATATGTTTATTCTCAAATATATAAAATCCGTGAGTGTGGAGCTGTGATAAGAAACAAAAGATAATAATAAACAACAGATAGTACTGTTTTTGCAGGGTTACAGTATGAACTGTATTATACTGTAATTATTCTTCTGATGTTTTTTATTCAGTGTTAAGTTTTGAGATCTATTGATCTTACACATGCAGCTCTACTTGACTCGTTTTTAACTTCACTGTAATATTCTACTATACAAATATAGCAAATATGTATATTCATCCCCCATTGCTATTTAAATATTTCTAATTTTTCATACATCAATGCTGCAATATACATTCTTGTATATGTTGCCTTGTGACCAATATATTTGGCTTTATTTCTACCCTTGCATTTTGTCCCTTCTATTTACTCCTTTTTTTCCTCTACATATTTTTTTTCTTCTCTACCTGGATTTAATAGACTTTCTTTATTCTAATTCCCTGCTTTACTGATTTGAAAGTTATATATATTCTATCTCTGTTTACTATTCCTCCTATTATTCTAGTCCTAAAGATTGCTGGTTATTCCCTAGTATCTGTTCTCTCCTTCTTTCTTACATAAACGGAACCCTCAACTTTTAGCTGAGCACATGGTTATTCAGAATAAAGAGTACATTTTCCAACCTTCCTTGCAGATGGGTGTAACCATGTGGGTAAGATGTGGCCAATGGGATATGAGCAGAAAGAATAGATGCAACCTCTGGGTCACAGACTTGCAGGGAGGGGTTGCAATGTGGACATGGAGTGAACCATCTTCAAACATGAGAGTATAACACCCTAGAGCTGGGCTGCTTATGCCTGGAATGTTACATGAGAAAGAAAGAAATGTCAGTCTGGTTTAAGCCATTGTTATTTTGGGTTTGTTCTTACATTAGTAGCAGCCAACCTATGATCTAGCTAATACAGGAGGCATGGCTTTTTAAAAATTCATCCCGTTTAGACTCATTCTGCTTCTGAATCTGAGGTGGTCACATCTTCTATCAATGTTTGGAAACTTTTTAGCCATTATCTCTTCAAGTAATGCCTCTCCTTCATTCTTTTCTCCACTTCTGGAGTCTTATTTGGTGGATATAGAATCTTGTCATTCTAGTATCCACAACTCAGCCTCTGTATCTTTATTTCTCTGGGCTGCATTCTGGATGATTTCCTTAGGTCTATCTTACTGTTCATTAAATCTGTCATTGATGATATCTAATCTGATGTTTAATCTATCCATGGAAAATTTAATTTCAATCAAAACACTTTCACTTTAGAAGTTTTATTGGGTTTTCAAGTCTACCTAATCTTTATAGATAGTGTTTTGTTCTTGTCTCATGTTTTCAATTTCTTTCCTTCCTTCCTCCCTCCCTCCCTTCCTTCCTGAGACAGGGTCTCACTCTGTCACCCAGGCTGGAATACAGTGGCATGATCATAGCTCACTGCAACCTCAAACTCCTGGGCTCAAGCAATCTTCCTGCCTCAGCCTCCCAAATAGCTGGGACTACAGGAGGGCATCACTATGCCCAGCTAATTTTTTTATTTTTGGTAGAGAAGGAGTCTTCCTATGTTGTCTTGAATTTCTGGCCTCAAGTGATCCTCCCACCTTGGCTACTTTTCTTTTTCAGTACTTTTGTTTTTTCTACCAGAGCCTTAACTAAGTCTGAGACACTGTTGTCATCTCCCTGTGCTGGTGGATGATTTTCTTTTTCTTGTCTACCTTTTCATTAGGGTAAGCCCTTTAATAGTCCTGATTTTTTTTTCCTCTTTTTAATTTTTTTTATTTTTATTTCGGCATATTATGGGGGTACAGAGTCCTGATTTTATGCAGAATTCTCAGTTCCAGCTTCCAACAAACAAGACCTCATCTCTGTTTCCACAGATGTTAAAATTCAAACCTCAAACCTTAAGTTACTGTAGGGATCCCTTGGCCCCAGCTGCCAGAGTTGAGAACCACTCCATTTTCCCCTCTTTGTTCAGCTCAGGTCTGCATAGGATAACTTAACCCTCATAGTGCGGCCAAACGAAATATCGGCTTTTACATCTAGGGCACAAAAGCCGGTATTTCGGCCAGCCGCACTATGAGGGTTAAATATTTAATCTAGTATTTCTAAGTGTTTCTTTTTTTTTATTTTTATCTTTCTTTTTTACTACATTTGTCAACATGGACTGAAATTTCTAGGTGTTCAGGGTTTGTTTTGGGTTTTTTTAGGTTATTCTGTTGTCCCTATTACTAGAAACAGAAGTCTCTTCCCTCTGAGTCAGACCTCTCTCTCTGACTCCTTCCCTCCCTATCCTTTCCTTCTCTCACACTCCTCTCTCAATGCCATAGCCTGAGGCCAGGACCTCAAACTTTATAGTGTAAAAACCATTTTCTGGGAGCTTGTTAAACACAGCACATTATTAACAACACCCCAAGAAGACTGGGGTGGGGCCTGGGAATATACACACTTAACAAGCTCTCCAGGGGGTTCTGGCAAAATGGTTCTGACCACTCTTTGAGAACCACTGTCTAAGGCCTGCACCCTGTCCCGATGTGGCTGAATTCTTCCTTTTCTATTGGCAGTACCTAGCAGGAATCACAATGCCAACAGACCTAAGGTTGGAGAGTTCTAGTCCAGGCTTGTCCAAGACCACTCCCTATAGCCATGGTGATACCATTGACTTGTTTTTCAGGACCTCAGGTTGTAGAGCTATCAAAAAAAAAAAAAGTCGGCAGGGTGCGGTGGCTCATGCCTATAATCCTAGCACTCTGGGAAGCCAAGGCAGAAGAATCACTCAAGGTCAGGAGTTCGAGACCAGCCTGAGCAAGAGCAAGACCCCATCTCTGCTATAAGTAGAAAGAAATTAGCCAAACAACTAAAAATAGAAAAAAAATTAGCCAGGCATGGTGGCACATGCCTGTAGTCCCAGCTACTCTGAGAGGCTGAGGCAGGAGGATCGCTTAAACCCAGGAGTTTGAGGTTGCTGTGAGCAAGGCTGACACCACTATACCCCGGGAACAGAAGTGACACTCTGTCTCAAAAAAAAAAAAAAAAAAGTCATTTATTCAGGTTTTACTAATCAAGATTTGATATTACTTAGAGAGGGGTGAGCTGAATTTTACCTTTGAACTATAAAAGAAGCATTTGCTAAACAGATGGAGACTATGAACAAAACTGTGGAGAATGGTTAATTCACTTAAGATATGTCTATAAATATATTTTTTTTTTTTTTATTTTTTGAGACAGAATCTTGCTCTGTTGTCTGAGCTACAGTGCTGTGGCATCAGCCTAGCTCACAGCAACCTCAAATTCCCAGGCTCAAATGATCCTCCCGCCTCAGCCTCCCAAGTAGCTGGGACTACAGGTACTCGTCACCACACCCAGATAATTTTTCTATTTTTAATAGAGACAGGGTCTCACTCTTTTCAAGCTGATCTCGAACTCCTGAGCTCAATCAATCCTCCCGCCTCAGCCTCCCAGAGTGCTAGGATTATAGCATTGCGCCCGACCAAGATATGTATATAAATATATTTTAAGTGCAGATCTCCACTCTTTAGATGGGTTATGCTCAAAAATGTCTCTGAAAGTCAGTTGTTTAGAATATATCTTCCCATAGAAACCTTTTGGAAAGTGGTCAGTTTCCCAGACCAGTCCACCCAAGATTAAAGAAAAAAATTGTTCCCATTTGAGAACTAGTCTGTGCCAGGACCTTTATATACGTGATCTAATTCTCAAAATAACTCTGAGAGGTAGACATTTGTGTCCTCATCTTAGAAAGGAGAGGATTTGCCCAGGGTCACAATAGCTAGTAAGCAGCAGAACCAAGTAGACCTGGCTCCAAAGCCTGTGTCCTTGTCACCAGGAAACCAGGCTGCCTTCTGTAGCTCATATGCTTAATAAAGGGTGAACAGAAGGGTGGAGATTTCCACTTTTCTTTCCTAAAACATCATCCTTCCCTACATTGAGGAAGAAACGTTAAGGGAATGATAGAACCTGTCCATGGTGGCCACAAGTGACTCCAGAGGTGGTGGAGGACCAAGGAGATCTGCACCATTCCTTTGGTGTACCAGATGAGGCAGGGCAGAAAAGAATGCAAGATGACAGCTTAGGACGTTGCTCAGAGTTTGATTTCAAAACAAAACAAAACAAACTACCTTGGGTTTCACTTTGCACGTGTTGCAAAGCATCTTATGGAAAGTGTATGTTCCCCGCCTTCCTCTCTAACACTGGCACGCTCTGCCACAGACCTCTGCCACGTGGACAGGCAGCTCCCTGCTCCCCAGGACTCACCTTGTCAGCCAGCAGCTCCCTTATCTTGCTGGCCTGGAGGCGGAACCGGAAAAGCTGTGTTTCCAGGGCCAAGCAGCGTTTCTGCCAGTCTACACTGGCCTGAGTCTCCACCTTGAGTTCTGCCATGATGGAATCGGCTTTGGGATATTCCAGGGAGCCCTAAAACCAGCAAACAAAGAGAGGAAAAGAGAAATGAGAGCATGAGGAGGAGTTCAGCACAGAAAGGGGCGGTGGGCAGAGCAGGACAGAGAAAACAGGGTTGCGGCGGAGTTAGTGTCCCTGTTCCCCTCGGCCACATCCTTGCCTTTCTCACCTCAGGCTATCCTGCTCAGTCCTAAGTTAGCTGAACAGAAACCGGGAAACCTAAGAAACCTTAAGGAGGACCTAGTCACATTTTGACAGAAGCGAAAGAATAGGGCTCAATTGTTTTTCATTCAGTTATCCATTTAACACGTACTTATCCATTCAACAACCATGTGAGTGCCAGACATTGTTCTAGACACTAGAGATGCAAAAGTAAATAGGACGTCCTCTGTCTTTGAGTTTTTCAAGGAGCTCTTAGGAAAGTCTAATTACAAAATTGCAATGTAGTCATAACTGCCAATTGATATGTGGATACATGGGGACAGGGAAGGGAAATGACTTGGGAGGGGGGATGTGTTTAGGGTAGGCTTAAAGTGGGTAACAGATTCATCCAAAGTCACATAGCTAATGAGAGGCAGAATCCTGGCTTACACTTTATTTCTTATTCTACTCCACCTATGCAGATGTTAGATGAGAAAGAAAATATAATACTTTGCATTTCCTTGACAATTTTCTATTTAGTTGGGATTCTTCCAATTGTTGTCATTGAATCATCCTGATTTGGAACAGATTCCTACCCTCTCCTCTCTTTCAAGTTATAAGATGCAAACCAGAAAACTGCTAGATATTTTGCTGCAATCTCTAGAGAAAGCCACAAGTCTTCGGGAAAAAAATTTGGCACAAATGCAGAACAAATCAAGTAGACACCTATAATATCCCCGGCCAGGGGGATTTACCTAGAGGCTTCCTGGACATATTTTAGAAAAGAAAAACTGGGTGGAGGATGAGAATAAGAAAAAGGATGCCTGAGTATAAGTGGGAGAGGAGGTGCAGGCAAAGTGAGCAGAAGGAGAAGAGGCCTGGAAGACACATCCATCATCAGGATTTTTAAAATCCCCCTTCTTCTAGGGCATTATTAATGACACTTGGCAACAAGCATAAATTTGGTCTGTCCCAAACCATGACATATGGCTACCTTAGTATTAGATTATTTTAAGGAATAATTAATTTTTAGGTTAATATTTTTTTAATGTCATCTGTTACCGATAAATATGATTTACAGGTGAAAAGAAATAATGTTTGGGATTTGCCTTAAAATTCTCCAGGGTAAGAGGTAAGATGCAGTAGATGTGTCAAAATGTTGATAATTCTTGAAGATGGGTATATGGGAGTTTTTATACTGATCTCTCTACTTGAATATATGCCTGGAATTTTCCATAATAAAAATTTGTTGTTTTTTTAAATCCCCTTTTCCTTCCTCAGGAGCCACATGGCCTCAGAAAACCCAGCCACCTCCTGTACTGTTGCCAAATATGACCATAGTGCAGAGTTAATCCTTTCGATGAGTGAATTGCCAATAGTGCCTCTCCCCTCACATTTGACCTTTACAAGGATCTTCCTCTCATTATACATTACAAATAACTATCATTTATTGAGTTCTTATTGTATGCCAGGCACATGCGTCCTCTTTAATCTTCATGACAGCCGATGAGACAATAGGTAGGCACTCTTGTCCACACGTACACAGATGGACACTGAGGAACGGAGAAGCTAATTCAGGTAGTTTTACAGCTAGTAAGTAGTGGGGCTGGAATTCTGGTTCTAAAGTCCTTGTTCTTAGCCACTGTGCTCTTTACCCATCCAAAAAAAAAACAAAAAGAATTCTGATTTCACAAAGAGTGAAGTGGACTGTTAATGAGAGAAATATTTTGTTGGATCTTTCAGAAGCCCTAGCACTAGGTTGAACCTATATCCCAGATTTTCCCAGGCATCCTGGGCACAAATATTCTGACCTCATAATGTCCACGAGCACTGACACTTACCATGTGTCCTGATTTCTCATTTAAAAATCAGGATCCGTAGTTCTGTAGAGAAAGGCCCAACAATTAAACCACTGACGGGTGGGGTGTCTTGAGTCTTCCGGTTCTGGCTCCTCAGAACACTGCACACATGCCCTCAGCCCTCCTCTCCCAGCCCTGTCACCCAAACAATCCCGACATTGTGACCTCCCAGCGATCCCCACCTCAAAAGACTGGAACCAACTGGAACGGGCAGGAAGACAAAAGACAAAAACAAAACATGACCTTCTCTGAGCTAAGATCACAGCTGAAAAGACAAAACAGAACCTTGTAGGGCTCCCAGAGAAGGCCAGGAGGCTTCATGTTTGATTTTCTTTGTCCTTTAAGGAGATTGTGCTTTTCCTTGTATAAATAGAAAAAAAAAATGGCAGATCTGAGACTAGGACCTGGGAGTCTTGCAACTTAGCTCAGGGCTAAAGAACAACAGTAAAAGCACAAAAGTAAAACCTAGAGGCAGGAGAAACTTAATCCTTTGTGTAGTTGAAACAGTTTGATTAATTTTAATTCCCTCCTACTGATTGTCAAAGCTGCTGCTTAGATTCCATGGGCAGAGTGAAAACCCGAATTATCAAAATCTCCAGGGACTTTGGAAATAAAATATGTCATTGTTGTCTGCCTACCCCTGATCTCTGAGATTAGCCCTGAACTTTAGGAGTGCTTTCTCCAATCAAGCATCTCCATGACATCACAGTTCTAACCTGATCAAGTGGTCTGCTTAATCCTCTCCCTGCTTTAGGGATGCCGGCAAGTTCCTGAGGAGGCTGGGACTCGTGCTAGGCTTGCCTTGGCATGTGAGGAGAACTAAGAAGTTTTGAAACAGATCTGGAGCAAGGTGCCTGCTGCCAAGCCCAAGGCCCAGAGGCTATTCCGACAGAAGCAGGTGGTCAGAGCAACAGCTATAAAACAAGGGATGTTAAGGGAAGATGCCAGTGAGTACAACCTCACCTGCTCAGTCAGTTTGCACTTGTACCTCCCATAAAGATGCACAAGGATATGCAGAAATGAATACCTTACATTTGCAGAACGGTTCATAGCTTTTCAAGGTACCGTGATGTGCATGTTATTTCTCTCATTATCCCCAAGATGGGGGACAAGTGCAATTATTCACAGTCAGCAGATGAGAACACTCATCACATCTATGACTTGCTTAGAGACACAGAGCTAAGGAGTAGCAGAGCTGGGTCGAGAATCCTGATCTTCCAACATCTAGAACTGTCCTCTTTCCATAATGCTTTAGCGGTGGTGGTACATGTCTCATACTACCAGGCTAGCCTAAAACAAATACAACATTAATGGCAAAAATAAATGGGGAAATGAGAGGGGGGAAGTGAGCTGGGAACAAAACTCAGCTCAATTGTTCATTTTTTATTCTGGAACACTTTAACACATAAGAAGTAGGGAGCATAGTACATTAAATCCCTGTCCCCAAAACCCAGCTACAGTAATCATCAACTCATGGCCATTCTTATGAAACCCAGTTTTTTAGATTCCACTGGTGTCCAGCACACTAAACTTCTGGGCAGGGGAGCCGTATGACTGCCATGGCCTTGACGCCTGCTTTGGAATTCCCTAAATCCTCCAACACCCTAGACTGAAACCACAGTAGGGATATGCCTCAGAGGCAGGAGCTGGGGTAGGATGGGTAGTGAGTGAGAAGGCACAGGAGTCATTAGATGACCTCAAACTCAGGGCCGGTATCTCAGCAAACAAATTTGACTTGGGATCTCTCTGCTAAGTTTGGGGATTTGACCAGAAACTGACAAAATGCTGAGATTTAATTTAATTCAACCTAGTATTCCCTGGCATATATATATTAAAAATAAACAAATAAATTTAAATTCAACCAACTTTTAAGTGATTCCTATGTGTAAGGCTGGGGATATAAAGATGAATAAAGATTCTGTGGTTTCCAAGGCTCAATTCTACAGCTGAATAACCTGGTATCTCCCTGCAACATACAGAAGCCTAAAAGAAAGAGGTCAGAGGTCACTGCAGGGCCCAGAAAGCTCACTGTTTCTATCTTGCAGAGGATGCATGATGCATCAGAAGATAACAGGGCTTCTAGTATATGTACAATTTCTACTGGGCTCTCCTATGTTACCCCACTATGATTCATTCCCTGAGTGTATCTTTTGTGATTTCCACTTGCTAGTGATAGGCTACCACCATCTTCTAAAAGTACTCTGCTAGGCTAGGCTGCCCGCTTGCCCACTTGTGGGAAAGAAAGAACTTTGTGTCCCCTTTGGGGGATGGAGCTGGGAGGAGGGTGCAAGCAGAAACAGGGGACAATTCCCTCTGATCTCAGCATTGTCATCTGACCAAGCCAGCAACATGCATTTGACGGCTACTGGGTGCCTGCATCACATTTCATACTATGTTGGGGGAGACAAAGAAAGAGGTGAGCATGTCCCAGGCTTCGGGGATCTAAATATCGAAAGAAAGGGCCAGGACAACCAGGTACAGCACCCCTTGAGGAAAAAAACAGCTGGTGCCAATAGGCCTGGGTTTGATTACTGGCTCAGGCACTAAATAATCCTGTGACCTTAAACTTCTCTGAACCTCAGTTCCATTTTGAAATTCAGGGCAACAGTATTTGAAAATGAGGGCACTAATATTAGGTTGAGCCATATGAAACTGTCAACTTTTTTTTTTTTTTTGAGGGCTTTGTTGTGGAAATTGTCAACATTTAACCATTTTTGACCTTCAGAAATGGCAATTCCATAGATCACATAATGCAAGATTTTCTTGAGAATTAAAAGAGATATCACAAAAGCCTGGTGCACAGTAAGCACTTGATAAATGACAGCTGTTGTTACTATCAACGAATAAATGGCAAACCAACATAAGAGATGTGGCCCATAGATGTGCTCACCACCAGATCCCCCTCAAGAAGGAGGTCGTGTGATTTTTAAAAATTATTTTATCTATTTATTTTTTATTTATTTATTTTTTTGAGACAGAGTCTTGCTTTGTGGGGGGGGGAGGATTTAAGCAGCC